ATAAAAGTCTCTCGAAGGGCTAACACTAGGGAGGAGGGAGTGGGCAAAAGTATGGCTGAAAGGAGTTGAAAAGCTGGCGCCGCCGGGGGGGTGGGCGGGGGTCTCTCAGCTGGAATCCCTCCACATCCTCCTCTCTCCACCCTGTCCCTGTGGAATTCTTAAGCTCGCTCCCTCCTCCGTTCTCTTTTCAACCCTCCCAATGCCCAAATTCCAGTTTTTCATAAAGGAAAGCAGCATGTCGTGTATTTGAGAGAAGAAGTCCCAAAGAAGATGCGGGAAGAGAAAAATTCAAGCCTCCTGTGGCTTTTCAGAAATAACCACAGGTCCCGTGCCCCCCAGCCCCTCAGCCTGGATTTAAAAGAGCTCTGAGAAGAGAACTTGGTTGCTGAATGCGGTGTCTGGGAGAATGACTAATCTCTCACGACTCCCGTTCAGAGGGCGGCGTGCTCCTGATTGCGGACCCCACTGCTCAGCGTCAATAAACGGTGGAGAAGAGGGCAAAGCAGAGGGGAGAGAGGGGCTCCCTGGAGTACGGATGCAGAAAGCAAACAAGCCGTATCAGTCATGAGCCTTGAAAAAGGCCCACTGATTTCTCAGGACCCTTGTCGTTAAAGGCATCTTTACAGGCAGGTCTTTGAACAGTTTTTAGGATTTATATAATATGAAGACATAAAATTTTCAAAACTAAAACTTCAAGAGGTTTGCAGCAACTGAGATTATTAGGAGGGGCATCTCTTGACCTTTGGCACAGTGGAAAATTTGTATTCATTAGTTTTTTTATTTACATGAATTCAAACTGATCAGACCCACCCACTCTGCAAACCTAATGCTAATTTACAAACAACGATGCCAGTCTGGTAGAAATCCCCGAATCCCAGCCTCACAGAGGCATCTTCGCAAAGGATATTTTCCGTCAGATCAGGGGAATTTCAGAGTCATCATCATTGTTAAATTAGGCAAGACTATATTCACTGAGCAGAGATCACATTAAGGTGATTACAGAGAAAGGGTCATGTTTTCTGTGTTCCTGTCCCCGACTTCAAGAACACGATCATTTAAACGAGTTTCTGTAATTGAAATGAGATGAATAGTTCTGCAGAGATAGTTTCCAATTCTAAAGGCACAGGTTTATAAAATTATATCAGCAACTAAAGATATTAAAACAAATGACAACAGAAATAGTTGAGCCAAAGTGCTTAGCTCTTAAGGAACATGGAGAATTAGGCTGACAACGTCAAAAGATTTTACATCCGTGTTCCTGAATAACTAGAGATAATGAGGTTGATGTTAAGAATGAAATTGACCATGCCTATCAGGTTGATAAATACTAATTTTAGTAAAAATCAACTGCAATTCAGTTTCTATTATTTGACTGCAGTACTAAAAGGTTAAAAATTGCCACCCATCAATATACAGTGATCCTTAGAATGTAGATCATAGTAAGACTTTATTTTCAAACAGAAGAGATGGATTTTGCTTCATGGTCTCCAGTCTTTCCCCCCATGTATCTACTGGCCAACTGGAGACCCTGGTGAGGCAGACACAGTGACCATGAGAACTGTTTGCCTGTGAGTGACGTTGAGGTGATTACAAAAATTTCAAGTGTTTTCTCATTAGTATAAATATTAAACCAACTAATTTACAAAAGCTAACCCAAAAAATTAGAAAAATAAGCTTCCCCCTACCCCAAGTTCCTAACAAATTCCTTGTGTCCTTCAGTTTTGACACAGAGAGCTGTATCACATTATTCACTGCAAAAGACACCTGGGATCAGAGAGAAACTAGTTTAGTATTGGAATGTCAGGCTTTGATCAGAGCACTAAGAGATTTGCCAGCTGCATTTCATGCCAGAAAGAGTGTGTGTGGACTGATCTATGGCTGAGGTTAGAAACTCCAAGTCTTATGAGCTTGAGTTACAGGGGCTTTTAAAGACCGTCTTAAGGGAGTAGAAAGAGAAGTTGGGGGGGGTGTGAAAATCCTTGGTGTTAGAGCTATGTCATCTAAGGCCTCATCATTCAAGTCCCTGGGGAGACCCAGCTGAGAAGAGGATTTTTGGTTTTGTTTTTAGTGTAATTATGTCCCAGATATTGCATGGGACATACTTAATGCTTAAAAAAAAAGTTATTGTTGTCTTGTATTTTTATTTGCTAAATATTGCAGCCTTGGCTTAGGACCCTGAACCAAAGGAAAATATAAAAGCAGAGCTCCAGGGAATTCCAAGTGAGTCAGTAGTTCAGGATATTGAGAAGGGAGGGTCATCATTTTCAACTGAAGAAGACAGAGTAAGGGAGCGGCGTAGATTAACTACGGCCATTAATTATAAAGCAGAGGGGTCTATTTCCCCACCCCTTGAGTTGGGGCTGGCTCTGTGACTTGTTTTAGCTGGCAGAATGCCACAGAGAAGATGAGGCAGACTTCTCCAGCCTGGCCTCAGAATGTCTGGCAGCTTCCATCCTCACCCTCCAGGAACCCGAGGACCATCATGCCATGCAGAAGCCTGGGATGAAGGTCCAGGTGTAGAGAAAGGCTCAGGTGTCCCAGCCATCTCAGCTGAGAGCCCCGAACATGTGAGAGTCCATCCTAAATACAGACTCAGTCAAAACGGCAGCTCCCTGCAGCCTCATAGGTAAGACCAAGTGAGATACCAGCAGATCACTGATGCAGAGCGGATCGCAGAACCAGAGAAGGGAATGCTTGTTCTTCAGGAGAGGTAGAGAGGGGAGGAGAGAGAATCCCTAATGCCTCATCACTCAAATAGACAGCCAGTGTCTCACCTAACTCTAGAGTGGTGTGTGGGTATGTGGGCAAACAATCTCATCGGGTAAAGGGCAAACTAGGAGGGAAGGATGGAGAATGACCAAGACGACAGCCACCAGGAGTACTTGCACCTGAGCTAGAGGCAAACAAAGTGACAGCATATATCTAAAGTTCACCTGAACTTTGTACAGTAGAAATCCTGAGATCTTTTCTATGAAGAGAAAAATAACCATGGAAGCTTTGTGACCTTTATGCACTGTCTGTGGGGCTGGGTTCTAATATTTGGTTCTGCCTGTCACAAGCTTTTGGAAGAGTCACTATAAGGAAGAGGAAACACCTATGATGTGTGTTGTTGGGGGCGGGGCGGGGGTGGGAGAGGCAAGCAGAATTGACGCCACCAATGCTTTCGCAAGTCTTGCCCAAAGAGGAATGCTTTAATTGCCGGGGGCAGAATGGTCAGGTGAGTAGGAGGCAGAATATGCACACCCCAGACACAGCACCGGAAATATATCTAGGCTTTCCCGGGCAGACAGGCTTGGGATTATCCAACCTAGACTACCAGGGGGAAAGAAAGCCTCTAATGACGACCATCCTACTTTAACTCCCTTTTCCTCTTCCCAAACCACTCTTTCCACCATAATTCAGGCCAAGGGTTCAAGCAAACGCTCCATGGTGAGAAGGTACTGAAGACAAAGCAAGGTGAGTCTAACGTGACTGACAGTCTAATACTTACCTTACAACGTCCTTGTAAAGATTAAATGATAGGATGTGCTCAGTATAAACACATGGCATATAACCCATGCTTGAGAAATGGTAGCTATGTCATCTATTTGTGGCTTTACAATAGGACTTAAGGCATCTACATACAACTGCTTTAAATTTTATGATGCATATGCTTATATATTTTTTTAGCCTGCAACTGCTTGATAACAGTGACTATATTTTGTTTTTGTGTGTGTGCTGGTCTATAACAGGTAGTTCCTGTGAAGTACTCCACAAATATTTGATGAATGAATGAATGAATGAATGGAATAAGACATGTTTGCTGAATTGCATAAAAAGAGGAATAAAAAGGAATGTGAATCAGACATAGAAAACAAACTTATGGTTACCAAAGGGGGAAGGGCAGGGGAGGGATCAATTGGGAGTTTGGGCTTAACAGATACACACTACTGTATATAAAATAGATTAAACAATAAGGACCTGCTGTGTAGCACAGGGAACTATACTCAGTATCTTGTAATAACCCATAACAGAAAAGAATCTGAAAAAGACTAGATATATGTTTATATGTATAAATGAATCACTTTGCTGTATACCTGAAACGAACACACTGTAAATCAACTATACTTCAATTTAAAAAAAAAGGGAATGTGAATGTGAATATGCTTACTGTTTACAACCTAAATATGATACAATGAGGGTAGGCCACAGGCTCAATGCTAGGGCTCACAGAAAATCTTCCAGGATCTCTGTGTACCTGTATCTAGCAGAGCTAGAGACCCCTCAAAAACAGCCAAGCCAGGGAGATGTTTCCCCCTTCTTTCCTATTTTTCAGTCCTAGAAACACTATAAACGTGGGAAGCTGAAAGTATGGTCAACATTTGATATTCCTCTCATGTGTTTGTGCCTCTAAAGGACTATCAGAGGTACATGCTAAAGTACATAATCTATAACACCAAATTACAAACCCAGTTAGGACACCGTCCAGGAGGTGAACATGGCCGGCCACAGAGGACACGAGAGTACCAGATGTTTTCAAAGAGAATAAAGTGTGACTTGAGTTGAAAAGATGAATGAGACTCAAACAGAAAAAAAAAGGGGGGGGTGGGGACTAGAAAGATGGAAAAAAAATATGCTCATTACTCCTCAGAATGATCAGCTATAAATATGGATTAGGTACCTGGTCCCAACTAGTTCGCTTCCCAAAACATAAAAGCTCTTCCCAAAACAGTAAAGCACGCTATGCCAAGGCCACATTTGGTTTGTCTTCTAGTTTTTAATTAATCAGCCCCCAAATACCCTGCAAAGGCCTTGATATGAAAATTATTTGTTAATGGCTTGGTTAAGGTGACCTACATGTGTAAGGGATCTGGAATCCCAGCTCCCTCAAATAAGCAAGGAGAGTCAGCTAAAGTTGGAGAATATTTCCACCATTCTGAGGACTGCCTGGATGAAAGTCAACTTAGAAAACTCAGTCTATTTCATAGATAAATGATTCTTGGTTCGCTGTGCCTACTCACCGTGGTCAAGGATATATTTCACAATCTCCCCGTTGCCGGTTTTAGCTGCGTAGTGAAGGAGTGAACAGTGGTCTGGTCCCTGAATTAGCAGGCTGCCTCCATTTTTATAGCTTTCTATTAGCTGAAAAAGAGACACAGGAAAAGCAGCTCAGGCACAGTCCAGAACAAGGGAAACAGCTAACCGGTGATAAAATAAAACTAATGTAACAAACCACAAATGTCTCCATCCTCAGAGGACACAGAGAAAAGTCAAAGAGATGAAGTAACCATTCCTGGGTCTGTGTTATCACTCAAATAGATGGCCAGTGTCTCAGTTAACTCCAGAGAGGGTATGTGGGTACTGAACAGCCTAAGGAAATGGAAACATGCTAAATTACTTGTTCCTTTTCTGTTTTTTGTCTTTAACTTTTCTGGGCACTGGTCTCTGTCTCAAGGGAGTAAAGGGTGGAGAGAAGAATAAAAGATTCCCTATGCTGGCTCAGCGTTCTCTTGAGTGAAAACAATTAAGTCTATAGGCAGGAATAGCTTGATGTCTGGTAGCTAAGCTCCTTCCCCGTCCTTTAGTTTTTTTCTCCAATCTCTAATGAGCCTAGCTACCGAGTACAGAAGCTGCTTCCCATTTTCCTGCATGCGCTCACAACACATATGCACACGGCAGACACAGGCACACCCATGTATGTCTCCTTCCTTCATCCAGATCTGCAGTCCAGCCTGCATGCCTTCTGCCCAACGTATACCCAACAAGGCTTGAGATGATCCATGGGATAAGAACCAGAAGGGTTCAGAGAATGTAGTAGTAGAAACCTAAAAGACTTCAAACATGAGAACAGCCTGGAAAAATCAGATACTGCAGCCTGGGAATTAGGTGGCTAAATGAGGACACAGTCTAAGTTTGTGAAATACTGAACATTATAGAAAGTGTAACTGGATCTCCGTTCTCTACACTGCAGTATATCAGAACAAGAAGAGCCTTTCTGGAGCTTCTAAAAGGTAGTTTTAGGATAAGTAAGAATCAAATAACTCAGCAGGATATAAGCAAAAGGAATGTGTCTTCCACCAAGAAGTTAGATGGCAAGCATTATAAAAAATCAAACAACTCACAAGGTTAAAGAGAGTAAACTCACAGTTCACGCGTTCACTCAAAATCATAGAACCGCCACGTGTCAGATGCCAATGAAACAAAGATGAATACAACTCGGCCACTGGCCTCCAAGACCTTGCCGTCCATGGGGGAGACAGATGTGTAAAGAATTGCACAGAGACGGAGAAGAACCTGAGGAGGGTAGCACAGGGCACTCATAGGGGATGGAAAAAAGTCAGGAAAGACTTCCTAGGAAATTGATCAAAAAGGAGTCGTTGAATGGATGTAAGGAATCTATGGGGTTTTCATGCCTAAACTGTAAAGCAAAGGAACAGGAAGAAGTAGCTAATTGTCTTCCACAAAAATCGAAGAGAATCCTGTTCTGTTCAACTGTCTCGTCTCACAATGACACTTCCATTCTTTGTGGGCAGATCCACAGAGGATTTGGGCTCAAAAGAATAGCAGAGACCCAATCCATCAGCTGCCCTGATTCTGCCTTTCTGTGGTGTTTATAGACACTGTGAATGTTAAGTTAGTCCACGGGCATTTTATGCAGCCCAGTGTATAGGAGCCGCTCATGATAACCTTCACACAGGGATGATCCTGGGTTTTCTGTTCTCGGCTCACTGGTGCACTGCCACCCCCCCGCTCCCCACCCAACCTCTCTCTATCGCTCTCCATCCCTTACACACACACACACACACACACACACACACACACACACAGTGTAATATTTAATATTTATTGTACTTTCTACATGGGATAGAAAAATGAAAGAAGATAGAGAAGAAAAAAGAAAAGGGGGAAAAAGTACTTGGGAAGGAAAAGAAAAAAAATGACAGAAAGAAAAGAATGAAAGAGAAAAATCCTAAGCCTTTATATTTTACCTCTCAGTAAATAAGGTGTTATTAAGTCATTTCTTAGTCATTTAGGAAATAATTACAAGAGAGAATGAAATAAGACAACCAGCTGAATATACTGATTTCCCATCTGTCAAATAATTCTCTACTAAGTACCAAAAAAAAGTGTGGTAATACACCCAGGGACCTGGAAAATCTGTTGCCTAGACTGAACGTATATACAAAATAAAATGAAAAGGTTTCAAATGTACAACAGTTTGCAAAATTTTCTGGTTTAGAAGCTCTGCAAGGGCAGGAATCAGGTCTTAACTCAGCCTCTCTTTCCCACAGAATCCACTATAAGGCCCTACAGGGAGTATAGGATAGTATTGGTTTAATCCACTGCTGGGAAATGGCACCGAACGCATAGGTACCCACACTGCTTAGACAGCACTTTCCTCTTGTGGGTAACAATTCCTAGTAACACTATGATCTGGACAGTGGCACAGGCACCATTCCCAGGATTATGTGTCTAAAGATGGCAGTTTATCAAGATGCTGGCAACCTTCTCACCATTTGTCTTCTGCTAGTAACCTGTTAAAACTGTAGCACAGAGATTTTGCAGTTTATTCAACAGATGTGCTTCAGAAGAACTTGTATACAAGGGCAGTGCTTCTCAGCTTTCTTTTAAGGCTTCTGGTTTCTCCATATGCAGTGGTGCCATACTCCACGAGTAAGGCAGAGTCTCTGCCCAGGAGCAGTTGTCGATATTACAGAACAGATCAGTGCCAGTGTGGGTTATACAGGGATATGTGGGCAGTCTAAGTCCTGATGCCTGAAAATAACTTGGGGCCAAATACAGCTTTTAGGGTATTCATAGATTATATTATATTTTATAACAAATATTTGCCTCCCCACTATGTTTAGCTACTAAAGAAACACAGATTAACACTATATTAATAAAACAGCTATCATTTTAGAGTCCCTGCTATGTAACAGGAACAGTCTTAAGAGCTTTACATGAATTTTACATTCAATCCTCACAATAAAGCAAAGAGAGGGGCAATGTGATTCCATTTTACAGATGAAGAAACTGAGGCACAGAGAGAATTAGGTAATTACACAAAGTCACGTATACGGTGAATGGCAGAGCCAAGATCTGAACCCACGCAGTCTGACTTCAGAATTCGCATTCACTCTAGAGGCAAGCAGTGACCACCTCCTTCCCTCTGAACTTCCCTCTGAACTAAATTCATCAGAAAACATGAGCACAAATCAAAATACTCGAGGCAGATCAGAGCATCTTCTTCTGATTCACTGTGATCCCGGAAGTTCAAAACTGTAATAATGTCGCAAGATGTAGGCTCTTGCCTAGAGAATGTATTTCTGGGTATTGTCCAGGTTATTCCTACAGATGCATTCATTTAAAGACCTATCTAAAAAGAAATCTTTAAACTTCAAATTTCAGAGAGGAGGAATTCCAAGCACTGTGAGGACTGCCTCCTGGGGACATGCATCGGTTGTATCTAGTCAAGGCAAATAGCGCAGTGCCTTTGCACAGACCCTTTGCTATTAGGAGATATAGAGATGCTGTGAAGACCCCTCTCATCCTCTCTTCTCAGTCCTCAAAAAGAGCATCCTTCCTCCTTCTAACCAGCTAGTACCAGGGGGATGAGAAACGATATACGGGATCATGAAAATTTGGTGAGAAATGATGTTGATTTAAAGTTCTTAAAGAATCACCAAAAGTTCTGGTAGGAAGATATCTTACCTTCATAAGATCACCAGCTATTACTGCCTGCAAAATTGCTGTGGAAGACAAAAGAGAGATGTCCCATTAGTAGAAGACCCTCTCATTAAAATATTATAAAGGGCTGGATCCGTATTTTGGAGACACAGTCTACATTTGGGGCAGGAACCAGGGGAGGACAAACATGCTGAAGGGTGAATCTGGGAACAGACTAAGGCCTTCCCTTTAGCCCTTCCCTACCTGGGCACTCATCTCATACATCATTCTAGAGCCTACCTGAGACCCCTCCAGCCCAGGTACAGTAAAGAGAACATGAAATTTAGAGTCACACATATTGGATTCAAATCTTAGCCCTGACCCTTACAGGCTGTGGAATACTGGGCGAGTTCTTTAACCCCTCTGAGCCTCAGTTTCCACATCTGTAAAACAGCAAGTCTCAATTGTATAGGATCCTTCAAAGGATTAATTCAATCATCTAAATGTTCTTAACTCATCCACTGATGCAAAGTAGGTGCCTAATCATGATTGTTTCTGGTCCCTTCTTTCTAGTTCCCTCTACTTTGTCCTTTTGGGGTTCAAAAATCAGTAGTAATTTTGTTTGTGTGTTTTATAATTATAAATAAATACCTACTGCTATGGAAAGAAGGACAAGAGACAGTAAAGAAGAAACACATATTTTGATTATGTTCTGAAGAAGATAACCGTATATTTAGCATAAAATTCATTGGTGATTCTTATAGAAAGAACTCTAGAAGTCCTAGGTAACCTAAACTAATTGTAAGACTATGTAGCCGAGGGGAAAAATATATAAGTACCTGTGCCTTTCATGTGGGGTGTAGAAGAGGAATGAGAAAATATAACGGATAAAAGGGGGAAAGAATACATGAGTGTCTAATGACAATTATGGTTCCTAAAGGGAACATGTGTATTAGGTCGAAAATGGTCCCTTTAGAAGAATAAATACTTAGATTCTAAAACTGCTCAATAAAAAGATTATTTTAAGGCTTTAAAGTCACCAAAAAAATTAGAAGATTTAAAATTTATTTTTCAAAGTGTCATTTTACTCTTCTTGTTTCAGAGTCTCTCATACAGAGTTAGCCAAAAATGTAGTATCAGGTATCAAAGTACATGGAGCCCTTGACCGTCACTGAACAAAGCCCTTGAAGCATTTATGATGAGCAGTTATGAGCCCTGGGTGACCAGAGGCAAAGGACCACAGGCATGTTAAACTCGTTCAATGGCCCAGGGCTGAGTGCCTTCCCTCAGCCTTGAAAACCTGTGGAAATGATGAGGGTTCCTTGGGCATAGGGGAGGAAGAAGAATGCAGGAGGAATAGAGAAAAAGGAAGAGCAGGAAAGAGAGGGAAGAATGTTTCTTTTCCATGACAAGCGGTAAGCAATCTGCTTTTTTCACCTCCCTTTGGCTCCCAGCACAATGCTCTTTGTACGCTATCAACGCACACCAATCAGTTGTTGAACTGATTGAAAAGAGAGCAAGGAGAAAAGGAGTGAGAAGGCAATGGAGATAAAAATGACAGAAAGGGAATTAATAAAACGTTATGCATCCAAAGAACCCAAGAAACGTGTCTCACTCCTCCTAGTATAGATGCGACACTGGGGTTCAGAGTGCAGTGACTCTCTCGGGGCGCAGAGCCAACGGTGGCCCCATCAGCACCGTAGTGCAGGTCCCTGTGACCAGTCCCAGCCTCTGTCCAGTGCCCTCTGGGAGGTCGCCCTGTAGAAGCTCTACTAGGCTCTGTGAGGCTTACGGAAAATGGAAGAGAATAGTCTAAAGGTTATCAAGCTTATAGTGTTGTGGAAAAGGCGCTGGATTGGAGTCTAATTCCAATCTCTATAATTTACTAGATATGTAAATTTAAGAAATCATCCAAACTTTGAACCAATTTTCTTATGTAAAATAAGGTTAACAGCTGCCCTGCTTAACCTCTCTGTAGTAAAGATGAAACCTAAAAAGTGCTGTATAAATAGGATAAGTTATATTGACAGAAGGGGTAGAGTACTTTTGTGACTATACGTAAGTACATGAAAGAGACATACAAACACTTCAGAAGGAGCCTAGCAATGAGGGTAAATTGGTGGTGGAGTCAAACAGACACCTCTCTGTTCATAGGTCCCATCAGAAGTGAGGCATGGATGAAGGAGCCAGTGGGATGGTTGGTGCTTCACCCCAAGATGTCAACTGTATCTCAGAGGACAGGGAGGGAGAGGCAGGGGAAAGTATGAGCAATTGCAGGTCTGGGAGAACGACTCAGTCTGGGCTTTTATACTGTAGGATGTTCTCTTGACTGAGGTAGAGTATCCATTTAGGAAAGAAATAAGGTTAGGGAAATTGCCTGAGAAGGCAGCTAATGAAGAGCCTTGAAACTTACATGCAGAAGTTCCTAACAATGTAGAGCCTGCGTTTTCAAGACCATGTTGGAACATTTCTCAAGTTTAAAAGAAAGAGAAAAAAGAAAGAATAAAGGGGAGAGAAAAGAAAAGTGAATTCGCTAATTTAAAGCACCAGTGAATAAAATTTGGTGCATATAAGCAAGAAATCAGGATGATAACAAAAATTCCCCAGGATAAATACTACTGAAAGAGCCCTGAAAATAAATGAATGAATGAACAAATGAATGAATTAATGAGAGGCTGGAGGAAAACTTATGCTAGCTGCGGAGTTCAAAGGATTGTTGGAGGAGGTGAAATTTAAGGTGACTCTTCCACAATAAGTGGATTTAATTAGCAAAGAAGATTTGGAAAATCCTTAAAACATGAAGGGAAGATATGAACAAGGACTTGGAAGTTAAGAGTCATGTTGTCTGAGGTGCCCTGGGAAGAATTCTGCATTATCACATCTGAGGCTGGGTTGTCTTAGGTCATAACTGTAGAGTTCCTAAGGGACTGCTCCAGGGAGCACGCTATGTCAAGAGAAGGAACCTGGATTTTCATCCCAAGAGTAATGAGAAGCTATGGAGGCATTAAAAGTAAATCGAGGATCGTATAAATGTCCTGACACATGCCAGTTGGATTCTGCCCCTTCCCTCCCGCAAACAGAGTTACGACCTGCTCTCAGCTCAATTGCTCCGGATTACCCCCATTACGGCGGCTTTCCATTGCTACCTCAGACTCACTCAAAAGCATTTTTATTTATGTCTTTTGGTTTCCTACAGCCTCCCAATTTAAAGTCCCCATGAACAGATAGAAGAGCATATAAAAGAATCATAACCACAAATAATTTCCAATTGTACTGGAGACAGAAAACATGAATATTCATTTTTAAGTCAAGCAATACACTCAAGGGTAGCTATTATGCAAACATTATTAGGCACAAGGCCCTCTTCTCTACTGATTAATGTCCTTCCCTCCTGAACACTGTTGCTTAAGATTTGCTCTGCATAAACAGAGCCTGAATCCATTAGTATTCAACTCCAGATAATAACCTTCCGAAAGAGCAAGCTTAAAAACAAATAATGAGTTATGATTACAGTATTATTCTTTATTATTTCTTCAGCTCTGAGCCTGCCTTCTTGCCTTTTCCAAAACTCCTTCATAACTGAGGCAACGATGCTCCCAAATTCAAAAGAACAAGGGAAGTCAAATGGCCAATGGGACACAAGCATTACTGAGTAGGTGGATACTAAGTTTCCCAGACAATTAAATCACATAAACTTAGACAGTCAGACAGGAAAGTAAGGGGGTAGAGAACTGAAAAGTTTGTCAGTTTTAGCGTTTAGAAGTTGAATCATTAGTTCACAAGAAATGGTTTATTTTTCCTTCAGCGCTGTGCCTTCCAATCAATTGCTAAACAGTAAACATCCTGAGAGAGAAAGCTGGAACTGAAAAGTCAGGACTACCAGGAAGGAATCACTGTCTTCCTTCTCACAGCCTCTCTCCTAGGCCTGGACTCCCAAAAGCCCAGACATCTTTAGCCATCGGTGCACAGAAGGGAAAAAAATGACTCCTATCGCCTGGAATCACGATGGGGAGAACACAGTCCAAGGGCCCACTGGCTGGCTCGCCTGCTTCTGCCGTGCCAGGCCCTGTTCAAGGCTGACTGTACAAAATATACTCCATCCTCTCAGAGAGCTGATATTTTGGCAAGAAATCCAAATTAGGAAGGAATATGTTTTAATTGAGTCTAGAATCATACTGCCTGAGTTTAAGTCTTGTGAGTACCGTTAACTAGCTATAACCTTGGGCAATTAACCAAGCTTCAGCTCTCTCATTAGGAAAATGAAGATAAAATCAGTCCTTTTGAGTCTCTGCCTTGCAAGTAAGCTCAAGAAACAGCTACTCTGACCACTGTGGTCTTCTGTGTAGAACACCATGGAATACTGATGTTTTTAACACCATTACACAGAAATGAATCACTTTCTTCTATGAAATGAGAAGTTTAGACTAAGGTCAACTATAGCTCTAGAACATGGCATATGACTACTTCCAAAGGGATAGTTTAAGGTTGTGAAGTTTGCTTTGCAGACAAAAATATTTGTAAATAAAAAAGAACTTGGCAAAGCCACATGTATGTTTATAAATCTCAATAAATCAACCAAGATAACTACGCTGTCTATAAAGAGTCACAAGCCTGAGCATTTATGTCTATTTAAAATTTTTAATCTTTCATGTTCAGCTATTTTTCAGTTTTAAAATTAATATTCTGTTGCTGAATTGTTTGTCACTTGCCAATGATGGCAGTCATCTAAATCTTTTTTTTTTTTACTTGTGGAAGAAAAAATTAAATGTGACAACAAAAACTGTTGAACAAAGAATGGCTTGTGGAGGCCGAGGCGGTAAAAAACAGTTGATTCATCGAGAATCATAAATATACGTCTGGCTTTGCCAAGTTCTGCATACTTTTTACTCCTCAATATTTACATCTGCAAAGCAAGAATCACAACATAAAACTAATGCTTCAGAAGCCATATTCCACATTGCAGAGCTCTATTTGGCCTTAGTCTAACCCTCTCATTTCATAGATAAGGAAAATGGGGCTTGAGAAGTAAATTGACTTTTCCAAGGTCACACAGATAGTTAGCAATCCAGCTGAGAGACAGAAG